TTTTTTTTTTTTTGTAGTGATATTTGCAATATCAGCCGTCACATAGATGGTTGGCTCCATAGTAGAAATTGTTTCTTAGACAAGCTGTTATTTGTCATTTAATATCATTTAATATTGGTATTAATCTATACATAAAATACGAATAAAATTAAATAAGTTTTGAAAACAAAATAAGTGGTATGTATTTTATTTGGTATGAGTATGAAGCTGAATTTTTTAAGTTGATTGTTAAAAATTAAGGTGATATCATGTTTCTATAATAACTTGCCATAAGATATTAATGCTAATGCAGCAAATTGGTAAGTATATATTCCTCTTGAAAAACAGAAAGATCATTGAATATTTCATTGATTAATAATATTTAAAATTTAGAAATTAAGTTTAGAGAATTATTTAATAATTTTGAACGATAAGTTAACCGAAAATGAATCTAGAATTTAAAATTTATTGTGTAGTCCAAATTTAGGTTCCAAATTTATAAGTCAAATAAGTAATTTTTCATAACTTACGGGTCAGAATTAACTTGGTCGTAAATAGAACAGTCAATTACTCAACTACTTAAATTTGTTGATTTCCATAGCATATATACAAAAATAATTTTTGTTTTTAATTAATGGTAACAATACAAGTTTTATAATTATACTTATTATTCAAATAGATTATTTAAATATATTATACAAGTTTACCAAAATAATTATTTTATGGAATAACATTGTATTCATATCGAATTTCTGAACAAAAATTTTAAAATAACACTTAATTTTAAGTGAATGAAATGTAATTTTAAATAGACACGTTTTATGTAATTTTGCACAATTTAAATTGCTTATAAAACTTTCTATAAATTAATATAGGTAAATTGTACTCCAATAGATTTCATATTTTTAATTTATAAATATTAATTAATGAGTATTTTCAATTTATAAATATTAATGAATATCTTTTACCCGTGCATCGCACGGGATTCGTACTAGTTGACAAATAACAAAATTACTATTAAATTTAATTTTAAAAATAAAAGAGGAATTTGCACTCCTTACCATCAACTATAATTTTTATTACACTTATATGCCCCTTATATTATTATTTATAAAATTGCCTAACCAAGCCAAAATATTTTCAATTCTACCTATATTGGCTTAACTGTTATTTCTTTTTTTGGCAAATTAAATGTTAATTAAATCCTAATTAAAATTAAGGATCTCCTTTACCAAACAACTCACCTCCCACGTCCTTTCTCTCTCCAAAACCCCATCTCCAGATTCTCATTACTATCCGCCATATCTAAATCTTTGCAGTTAAATTGCCCTGCTGCTAATGGTGCATATGCAGGTTCCATCATGAAAAGATGGTTATTGTTGATCATAAGATTTGTTTTCTTGGAGGCTTAGATCTATGTTTTAGTCGTTATGACACAATTGAACACATAGTGGGCGGTGGAAACTCGATGGTTCGCGGTGGTTGCAGGCCTCGCGTGTTCGGTGGCTCGCGGATGGAGATCCTCGGCGATGGCTGTGTGTGTCGTAGATGTTAATTAGTTCAAGTTTGACATTGAAATTAGCGAAGAAGAAGACGAAGAGGCTGAGCGAGGTCAAAACACCCGAGACCGTGAAGAAGAAGAAATTCATGACAGCTTTTTTGAGATTTTTTTTTTTCGTTTGATTTATTTTGGAGTATATTTACAGTATATCTTCGGTATATCTTCGTCATATGTATGGTTTATATTCAGTATATCTTCGGTATAAGTATGGTTTTATATTTAGTAAAATCATGGATATGTATGGTTTATTTTGGAGTATATGTACAGTATATCTCCGATATCTTCGTCATATGTTTGGTTTATTTTCAGTATATCTTCGGTATGTATGGTTTATATCTTCGGTATAGCTTTGAATTATTGCTGATCAATCACGTAGTTTTTTTTTTTTT